GTCACACAGCTAGTTTGGTATGTAAGATAGTAGGTGGCACAGTGGGTAGAATGCTAGACCTGGAGTTCAAATCCAGCCTCAGAGATATGCTAGCTGTGAGACCCTGGGCAAGTCACTTAACCTCATCTCCCTCAGTTTCCTCATCTGTAAAATGGGGATAATAATAGCACCAACCTCCCAGAATCAAATGAAATAATATTTGTAAAGTCCTTTGCAAACTTTAAAGTACTGGCTACTACTATTGTTGTTGTTAATATTATGTGTCTAAGGCAGGATTTGAATTCAAGTCTTCCTGACAAGTCCAGTGTTCTAATATGGCCTCAGAGAGTGGGAAAGGGCAGCTTCCCTGGGGGAGTTGAGGCATCCCAGGGCCAAGGGCTCTCAAGAGATGATTGTCACGTGTCCAACACAACAGGAGGAATGCCTTCCAGACCTGTGGATTGTCACTGCTCAATCGTTCGGAGCCCCTGCATCCCCAGGGTTGTGGCTACATGGGCCACTTAGATTAGAGATGGCCTGAGAGACCCTACATATTCATAGGATTATAGATTCAAAGGTATCTAGAGATCTGGTCAGAAGGGGAAGCTGAGGCACAGAGAGATTAAAAAGACCCATCCAAGCATAAGCACTCTCCATTGTGATGATTCCAACCCTCCCCATCCCCACCCCCAACCAGACAGATTGAGGCTAGGCTATGGGATGGAATGGGTGGATTCCTCTTGCTTGGGAATCTGCTATTCTGCTGGTTCTAGGAAGACAAAATCTATTCCCTTTTCTGGGGTCGGGGGGGGCGCCTGGGAAGGAGGAGGTTGGGATGAGTCCCTTAACAAAGGGTTGCTCATTTACTGCCCCCTCACCCATAGTGTACACTTAGCATTACGAAGACCTGGGTTCAAATTCTGTCTCAGACACACATTACCTGGGTGATCCTGGACTTCACCTTCATAAGCCTAGTTTCCCCATCTTTAAAGTGGAGATAATAACAGTACCTCCCGTCACAGGGCTGTTGTGAGGGCCAAAAGAGAAAATGTACATAAAGCACTTTTAAAAACTTAAAGTATTACATATTATTATTATCTGGTTAATGACACCTTCCTAAATTCAGAGCTAGAAGGGACCTTAGAAGCCAATGCTTCATTGTGACCCAGCAGAAAAAGCACTGGTCTTGGACTGAGAGGATGTGGGTTCAAATCCTGCCTTGGCCACTTATTACCTCAGTGATCTTAGGAAAAGTTTATGATTTCCCTGATTTTCCTTCTCCATATAATAAGAGTCCCCTGACATGGGGAACCCACTAGTTCTTTTCTTTAAAAGGCTTTTAAACTGTCCTTAAGACTCATTTGGCTCAGGGCACGAAGACTTGGGTCAGAGCTTGGGAATTGCCCAGGTACAAAAAAACCCCAAAGAAGCTCCTGACACACAGTGACTGGCAAAATCACCCGAGCCTCACTGAACAGGCTTTCCTTGTTATGGTCAGGCAAATCCTCTATTGCTGACGGATAGACTCATTTCATTATAATCTTATAATCTTGAACCTAAGCTTACACACTGGCCTGGTCAGATTTGGCCAGTTACAGCCTTGGGGGTCCCTTCCAAAATCTATCATCCAAATTTTACAGATGAGGAAACTGAGGTAAAGGAATGAAGTGACTTGTCCTAGGTTCATACAGTATTAAGTGGCAGAGGCAGGATTCGAATCCTGGGTCCCCAACTTCAAATCCAGTGATCTTTTCTATTGTGGTGGGCTTCCTCAAGGCAAAGTGGTGTGATGGGAAGAGAGCCAGACTGAGAGTCAGGAAAAGCTTGGGTTTGAATCCCTGCCTCAAAGGCTTCTGGAAGCAGCCCATGGGATGTTTATGCCATACCCTGATTCTTGTGGAACTCTGGTTCTTTGGAGCTCTTTGCGCTCCATTTGGACTTCACGAAGATACAAAACTGTTGAACAAAGGCAGCTCAAGCCTTTGGGCATCAGAATTTGGCAGCCCTCACATTCCTAAGTGTTTGGGGCTAGAAGGGCCTTTAGACAAAACTGTCTAGGATCAACTCCCTCATTTTACAGATGGGGAATATGAATTAAGAGACTTGCCCAAGGTCACATGGCTTCTAAGTGTCAGAGCTTGTATTCAAACCTAGCCCCTGATACTCTGGAGTCAGGGTTCTTCCCCCCAGACCACAAACATTGCTTGGTCAAGTTAGACTGGCAGAGATTAGGGCTTGCTCTCTTTTATTGGGTGGTGGGGGTGGGGGCAGGAGACCTGCTCTGAGCCCACTGTGGATTAGTCTGGAAGGCTTCTACCTGGATGACCACTGAGCAAATAGCTCGGGAGGGTGCTCCCTTCCCAATGGGGTCACATTCAGCCCAGCTTTCCCAGATCTAGTCCTGGAATTCCAAGGTTCAGACTACATTGTTGGGGGGGGGAGAGGGGAATAACACCTGAGCTGGCAGACTCCCCACCCTGGAGGAAAATCGAAACAATTAAATGACATAGAATTCAATCATATTTTAAAATAAGCTTTATTTAGATTTTTTTATATTTTTATATTTGCATCCATGCCTTCAAGAAACCTTTCCCACAGGAAAGGTTATTATTATCTAATGTTACCCATAACTCATATGCTATTTGTCATACTTCTCTTAAATAAATCATCCTCTTAGTAACTTTTAGAATTATTTTAAAAAAAACTGAAATGAACAGGAACTACTAACTCATTACCAGGAGAGGCTGTTTTGTTTTCTCTATTAAGGAAAAAAAAAATAACGGGGAAAGGAAATGAAACAAAATTCATGGGGGATAAAATGTTTTCTAGACTATTCCTCCACAGTGCCAGATGCCGGTAAGGGCAGTTTCCTCCCAGACCCGGGCCAGATCCCTTCGCTAAAGCAGGGGCAAGTCTGAAGTCCCTATCCAGAGACTCCGTGCGGCTTCCCACCCTTCCCTTTCCCCAAAACTGCTCATCCCATCCAAAAGAAATCCAGAAGCTAGTTTGTCATGCCAAGGTTTGCTTTGCTCTATAGTTTGAAGATAAAATATCCCTTTTCAAAGAGGGTACACCGAGGAGTTACTAAAGCAAACAGGCTTCCTAGAACTTAGTACATGGTTGAGTTTAAAGAGCTTTAAACGGTATGGTCAGCGGGAAGCGTAGTGTACAGTCATCTGCAGGATACACCTGATTCTGAGTTGTATTAGTAGAGAGGGCGAAGGGGACTGGGGTGGGGAAATCACAGTTAAAAATAAAATTGGCCATCTGTTTTGAGACCTCTGGTGGGCTGCCATTGGCCCACCATCATCAACGCACACAGCCCTTTAGCTTATGAAATGTGATCAAGGGGGTGGGTGGGTGGGTGGGTGGGGGGTGTGGACAATGCCTACAAAAAGCTCTGAGAGAGGTCACTCACGGACAGCTTTTCCTACCTGGGTTGCTAAGCCTCGCCTGTCGCAGTGTGGGATGGATGACAAGACAGAAAAAGGCCCAGGGGACTTTGGAGAAGTGCCACGGGACTATAAGACAGACATTTGGTATGGGATGGGTCCCCCATGCTGGAGAAATCCACCTGGCACAACATTCCCTTGGGATGGGCACTGTGACTCCCTTGGAGACACTCTGTTCTCCACTCTTGGAAGAACTGCTAGGGCAGATGAACAGACTAAAAAGAAGTGGAGGAAAGATGTGGTCATGGGGAAAAACTTGAGGTCCCCTCAGGGGCAGAGGGGAGCTTAGCCCCTGGCTGACCCTGGCAATACTGAGGTTCGCCGTGAACATCTGCTTGGTTCTCAGAGCGTTAGTGAGCTCTGTTCGCCCCACCCCTTTGGCTCACGATCTTTTTGCCTGTGGCCAGGCCTCCCCTGTGATCAGCATTCGATGCCCTGGATGAATTTAGACAGACAGACCAGACTGAGGATATGTGTGGGTCTAGCTGCAGAGGAGGGGGGAGGAGGCTGCAGAGAATGTTCATGAGACAGACAGAGATGAGAGGAGGAACAGAAAAATGCCGGATAAAATACAAGAGGTTGAAATCACATGTTCCCTGGGCTCCGGCCATCTTAAACGCTATCACTATTTGGCAGCAGCGTGATAGAGAACATACAGGCAATAGAAACACACCCGCCTCCCTCCCACCCCTTGGAAAAATAGAAATTCCAATATTTATGCAATAATTTAGATAGAATAAGTTTTCTGCTTTTGTGCAAATAAATTAAATGAAACAATTTTTTTCCTTCTTAAAGAAAAAAAATTTAAAAACTGGTAGGCCATTAAAAAGAGCCTCTTTTTTTTTTTAAATCTCCTATGAACCCAGCCAAGAAGACAGCCACTTGGCTGGGGTCATTAGTCTTTGCGGACAACACACCCCGCCAGGATGGGGTTGGTATTTTTGTTGTTAACGTGACCGAGGCACTGAGTGCCCTGTGCACTCTCAGGACCCCACTCCCCCCAACGCTCACACCGGGGATGGTGGGGGGGGGGGAACAGACCAGATACAGAACGCACCACAAGGTTGGGCTCCAGCAAGAGCAGTTTGGACAAGAGACGTTTACAAGCACAAGGTGCACACGGGTTTTTCATTATTTACAAATACACAGCAGTCCTTCAAGTTTCATAAAAGACGGGGTGCAAAAAAAATTAAAAAAAAAAACCAAAACAGAAAACCCCCCAAATGAACAACGAAAAAGATTAAAACAAAAGATAAAGCCCCGAACGTTAAAAAAGAGAAACCAAAGACAACAAAAAGAAATCAGAAAACGACACACCTGCATCGCTCCAAAGACAACAGTTAACATATTCACACACAGCTTGTAATATATACATCAGTTACAGAGGTGGTGGCGGAGGGGAGGAAAGGGCTCACGCTTCTTGTTTTTCTTGATGTTAGACACATCCCCACGCACACAAACACACCTGGTGCACACACACGCACGCAAACACACACATACGCGGGCAGCAGTCGGAGGCGGGCTATCACCAATCCGCATCCTCCTCAATGTAATAATCAGGGGCAGTACCATCAAAGAGGCCTGGATCGAGGGATTTCCGCTGCTTCCCTCTGGCAAAGACCCGGGAGATGGAGCCAAATCCCATCTTCTCTTTCTTCTTTTTCCTTTTTTGGTCTTCAAGATCCTCTAGTGACTAAAAAAGTCGAGGGAAAGGCAGCAGGGGAAGGAGAGAAGAAGGAAACCACAGTTAGACGTGACAGAGCTGCTCATGGGAGCAGACATTAGTTAACAGCGTCGCCATACATTTGAAGGAATCTAATGTTGGACGGGAACCAAACGGAAAACTCAGGGGTCCTTTAAAATAGTGATTCCAGACACAGAAATCATAGAAGAGAAATAATGGTAATAATTACTATACCTTCCCCGGACAACTAGGTGGTGCCATAATGCATAGAGTGCTGGGCTTGGAATTAGGAAGACTCATCTTCATGAGTTCAAATCTGGCTTCAGACCCTTATTAGCTGTGTGACCCCGGGCAAGTCACTTCACCCTGTTGGCCTCACTTTCCTCATCTGTCAAATGAGCTGGAGAAGGAGATGACAAACCACTCCAGCATCTTTGCCAAGAAAACCCCAAATGGGGTCACAAAGAGTTGGACTGAAATGATGAACAACAAAAATATTCTATCTTCTCACGTTTCTATAGTGCTTTACAATTTACTAAAGAAAAAGTTTTCTCCATCATAACCTTGAGGGTAGGTAAATGTGGAGTATGATTTGCTTTTTACAGAGGAGAGATATGAGACTTGGAAGCGGATGTGATTTGTCAAAGTTCACACAACTAGTAAGAACCTGAAGCAAGATTCAAAATCAGGTCTCCCTAGTCCCAAGGTATAGCACTTTACAAAATGCCAGGGGACCTTGGATACCACTTAGTCCAAAGCCCTCATGTCTGAAAACCAAGGCCTGCAGAAGCGACATCCAAGGTTATACGATCATTGAGTGGCACAGTCCCAGTGCATATCAATGTTTGTTTCCAGATCGGTAATAAATTGGAACAGCAAAGATAGACACCAAAAAGCCAACAGTCCAGAGAAGATCAATCCAAAAGGAAGGTTGTCCTCTCTACCTATGGCTATAAGGTGAAGCAATAAGAAATAGGTCTAAAACAAGGTGGTTGGCCTAGATTATCTCTGAGGCTCCTTCTAGCTCCATGGACCCTATGAAATGATGACTGATTCCATTTGCTCAGGGTTTCCAAAAACTTTCTGAACCACCCAAGTGAGGTGCACTTGGATATACACAGGTGATTTCGACTTGTACAGAAGCCCTCGATGGCAGAGGTGGAAAAGACCTCTGAGGACATCTGGTCCAGCAACCACCATCCAGCTTTCACTCATGGACCTCCAATGGCGGGGACCCTACTCCTTCTCGAGGAAGACCATCCCACAGGTTTTAAAGTCAGAGAAAACCCCAAGATCCTAGATCTAGAGCAGGAAGGGGTCATAGGGGCCATGTAGTCCAACCTTCTCATTCTACAGATGAGGAAACTGAGGCCCAGAGAGGGTAAGCATCCTTTGCTTAATGTAAGTGCCCTCCCTATTGATCATCTCCAATTTATCCTGTATACGGCTTATATGCACATGGTTATTTGCATGATGTCTCCCCTACTAGATCTTGAGCTCATCGAGACTAGGGATTGTTTTTTACCTTTCTTTGTGTCTTTGGCACTTAGCACAGAGCCTGACACATACAAGGTGCTTCATAAATGCTTGCTAAGTGACCCGCCTGAGATCACCAGGTAATATGTGGCAGAGCTGAAATTCAAAGTCACATTTTCAGACTTCAGAGTCACCACTGGCTCTGCTTTGCTGTGTGGTTCCCAGGCTGAATCCTGACTCAGTTTCTTATTTCCTGTGGATACTGGGCAAGGCTTTCTTTGGCTCTGGGCCTCAGTTTCCTCCTCTAGGTAATGAGTGGGTTGGCCTCACAATCCCATGATTCCATAAGGTCGCAGAGTTGGCCTAGGAATGGGTGGCCATAGCCGAGTTCTAAGGGAGGACCTAGAATGGAGAGGCTCAGGTTCATGTACTTCCTCAGTCTTCAGCCTCAAATGGCCTTGTGATAGAAGGGCAAGCAAGGATGCTACACGTGGAGACCTGGGTTCAAATTCTACCTCAAGTGCTGAGTAGCTGTGTGACTTTGAATGAGACTCAAACTCTCGAGGACCTTGTTTACTTACTGGTCAAATGAGAGAAATAATCATCCTTGGACCATCTGCTTCATATGGATGTTGTCATGAGGAAAACACTTGGAAAACCTCAAGACACTGTACATAAATGTGAACTGTTATTTTAATCTCACCTTCTACAGAAAGCCTTTCCCCATCGCCCTTAATTCTAGTGCCTTCCTTCTACTGATCAGCTCCAATTTATCCCATTTATAGCCTGTTTGCCTGGTGTCTCTTTCATTAGACTGTAAGCTTCTTGAAGGCAGGGATGACTTTTTGCCTTTCTGTATATCTTCGGCCTTAGCACGGCGCCTAACACAGAGTAGGTGCTGAATAATTTTATTTTTACTTGACATTATCAACCTTCTCAGTCACAGGGTGAGAGATTTAGAGTCAGAAGGGACTTCTGAGGTCATTTAGTCCAATGCCCTTATTTTAAAGAGGAAACAGAAGCCCAGTGAGTTATCCATGGTCACACAGGATGTAAGCATTACAGGGAGAATTTAAACCCAGGTCCTCCAGTCTTGTCCCATGTACCCTGCTGCTTAATCTCTGCTGCCTCCATCTGCAAAGATGGAAAGTGGGACCTTGTAGGTGTGTTGTGAAGGTGAAAGAGATGAGAGGTCTTCCGGTAAAGAGGTGCCATGGGGTACGGTTTTGGGGCACTGCATCAAAGAGGGCCCAGCAGATTAGAGGAACTGCAACCTACCTGTACAATTGGGTTGTGTAAATTCTTCTGTACAGGTCCGGGACTGTCCCCCTACCAGCACAAAAAGAGAGATTCAGTTGATGGATGTAACATAATCACAGACCCCCATGACCAAGGGCTCTCTACAGAGACTATAGATCCCATAAGAAAACATCTGCCCCTGCTCCCACTATTAGAATCAGAGAATACCTCAACAGTCATTGAGACACCTCAAAAGCCATCTTTGCACATCCAGAAGTAGTCCTTGAGCTTTTGCATGAAGCCCGCCAATGAAGAGGGAGCCCCATTACATCTAAAGACATAGGTGATTATCTTGACAGCTCCCCTGCATACCTTCAGTGGGCTGGGCTAGGCTGAGAATCCATGTATATATAAGCTAACATATATTATATAGATACATATATTTCTATAGCCTGGACCTTCCCACCTCTCTAGTCTTCCCTACCGCTCACATTTTACTTCTCTCTATGTATTCTATGATTCAGCTATACTAGCCTCCTTTCTGCTGCTCACACAGGACATCCTATCTCCCACCTCCGAGCATTTGCACTGGCTGTGCCCTACTTGTCCCTCCTCATTGCCATCTCTTATCTTCTCTGGCTTCCTTCAAGACTAAGTTCAAGATCCTTCCCCATGGCAAACCTGCCCCAGCCCCCACTCCCAGCCTCCTCATTTGCTAGTCCTTTCTCTTTGAGTTACCTTTCATTTATACCTCATATACTTTGTATGTATATAGTGGTTTGAAAGTTGTCTTTCCCAGCAGAATGGGAGTCCCTTGACGGCAGGGACCATATTTTTGCCTTTCTTTGTATCTCCAGACCTTAACACAGTACTCCGTTTACAATAAGCGTTTAATAAACCCTTGATGACTGACCTGACTGGAAAGGACACTGAAGACCACTGAGTCAATCTTTCATTTTACAAAGCAAGGTCACACGTGGAAAACGCATGACTCATACATAGCTAGTATGTGTCAGAGGCGAGATAACCCAAACCCAAACCCTCTCATTCTAGAGCCAGTACTCTGAGATAGAGAGGATATCATCAGGCTTCTTTAAAGAATAGCTCACTGATGGTGGACTTGTGAACTGATTCAACTTTTCTGGAGAGCAATTTGGAACTATGCCCAAAGGGCTATAAAACCATGCACACCCCTTGACCTAGCAATACCACTACTAGGTCTGTATCCCAAAAGAGAGAGAAACCAAAGTAGAAAAGGACCTCTATGTCCAAAAACATTTTTAACAGCTCTTTTCTGGGGGCAAAGAATTAGAAATTGAGGGGATGCCCATCAACTGGGGAATGGCTGAACAAGTTGTGGTATGTAATTATGATGGACTCCTATTGTACCATAAGAAATGATGAGCAGGATGCTCTCAGAAAAACCTGGAAAGACTTGCATGGGCTGATGCAAAGTGAAATGTACAAAGTAACAGCAATATCGTAAGATCATCACTTGCGAATGACTTAGCTATTCTCAGCAATACAACGATCCAAGACAACTCTGAAGGACTTATGATGAAAAATGCTATGCATCCCCAGAGAAAGAACTGATGGTGTCTGAATACAGATTGAAGCGTACTTTTTTTTACTTATTCTCTTTCTTTTTCTTGAGTTTTTTTTTTGGGGGGGTGGGTCTATGCTTTCTTTTACAACATGACTATTATGGATATGTTTTGCATGACTACACACGTATGGCCTATATTGAATTGCTTTCCTTCTCAATGAGGGGGGTGGGGAGGAAGAAAGGGAGAGAATTTGGAACTCAAAGTTTTAAAAATGAATGCAAAAAATTGTTTTTACATGTAACTGGGGAAAAATAAAATGCTACATATACATACATACGTACGTACATACATACATACATACATACATACATACATACATACATACATACATATATATATCTATATAAAAGAATAGCTCACAATTCCTGGGGTAGATGGAGGGCCTTGGATATAGGCCCTCAGCCCACCAATATAAACCATTCAAACTTTCAATGAGATTTAAAGAAAAGCACCAACGATCTCATATTTCAAAGTTTCTACCTAAGTGCTCACTCAAAATAGCATCCTGATGTAGCAATCAGGGCTTGTTAATTGCTAGGCTTCCCTGGACTCACTTCAGTCCATCCAGATTCCATGATTTCATCAGTGTGAGTGTGGTACTGAGTTTTTTTCTTTTTTGGGGGGGAGGGGGAGTGGGAGGTCCTACTACTAATGGAGATTGCAATGCCATCCACAGCTTATTAGAGAGACCTCAGGAGCTGCTGGGGCTGGGAAAATCCTTCACCAGGTGGCCAGTCATCTGTTGTCACCCTCTCTGAACTTAGCCAGGTTGGTCCTTAGATGGTAGGTAGAGATCACCACCAAGCCTCCAAATCTAATCTTTTCCAGTTTAGTCTAGGAGCCTGCCTGGGCATGTGCTCAGCTCACCTGAACCTTTTAGACTTCAGGCTCATCTTCAAACCTCAACGAGGCATCTATTTTGGGCCAGGTGGTTTCAACAAAGAGAGATTTTTCTATGGAAAGTTATTATTATTATACATTTGTATAACACTTGACATTTTAAAAAGTACTTCTAAACATATTATCCCAGGCCGATGGGACATGGAAGATAGGAATTAAGACTCTCATTTTATATATAAGGAAACTGAGGCAAAGAAAAATGAAACAACTTGCCCCAAATCACGTAGCTAGTGAATGGCAGGGTCAAGAACAGAGAACCTTGATCCTTTGACTTTTAGGGCGGGCATCTGTCTAGACACTACACCTGTACAATATCTACATGTGGAAATGTATACAATAATCTAAGACTCTCCTATACCTTTGGGAAACCTAGAATTTTGGACCAAAAAAGAAATCACAGCTAAGGGAATATTATTCTCTGGTTCACATGAAATACAAGAATAGCATGTAGGTAGAAACAATATTCTGGGTGTGCCAACTCAAATCCATAGACTTCTTACTTGATGTGCTGAGCCAAGAGCATGAGAGGACCTGGAATCTTAGGAGACCACAGACAGGGCTGATGAGGGTGAGAGAGGGAGTAGTTTCCGACAGGCAGATATTTTGCAAGGCCATCCTACCGCAGGGGACATCAGCATGGGCCAGTCATGCCTTTACAAGGCCCAAACTCATGGACTACATTCAAAGAGATGGGATAGGCTGAAGACAGAAAGAGTTTAAAGAAATTTCAGCTAAATTTTTGGATAATGGATTCACATTTACAAGCGGCCTTTCTTAATCTCTCCATGTGTTGATGTGTTCCCCTTTCTCAAAGTCTCTCATACTTATGGAAATATGGTATTCTCCCAAAAAGAATGGAAAGTCCACGAGGGCAAAGACTGGTTTTCTTTTGTCTTTGTATTCTTAGTGCCAAGCCCAATGCCTTGGATGTGGTTAATTAATTTGATTTTTTGCTCTGGACTTGTGATTTCATAGGGATTGGGAATTCTCTGGGTGGAAATTCTTTCTACCAACAGATTGGCTATTTGTAAATGGATGATGTCAAACTTAGATAGAAACAGATCCCTGTGTGACCTGATTGACTTAGAAAACCACAAATTAACATTATCTACTTTGTATTTGTATTTATCTTGTTAAACATTTCCCAATCACAATTTGATCTGGTTTGGTTGTACTTGAGAGTTTGGCTGGAGGAGTTTGACAGCTCTGTTGTTAAATAACCTACAATCTTAGAGAACGGCCTTGGGCCATTAAATGCTCATAAGTAATGGGCACTGAGAGGGTCAGTAAGTTGCCTAGAGTCACAGAACCAGGATGTGTCAGTCAGGGCTGGAGCCCAGGCCTTCCTGGCTTGCAAGGCTGATGCATAACAGGCTGCCCTGACTCCTGGTACCTAATCAGCTCTTAACAAATCTTTATTGAACAGAATTGAATTAAAGGCAGAACTAAGATATTCTGAGGAGGTCCCTAGTCCTCTGAGGCTGATGTCTGAGAGGCCAACTGTGCCCAGCTAGAAACTGGTCCTTTGTTTGTTTTGTTTGTTTGTTTTTAGGCAATTGAGGTTAAGCGACTTGCCCAGGGTCACACAGCTACTAAGTGGCAAGTGTTTGGTCTGAGGCTGGATTTGAACTCAGGTCCTCCTGACTTCAGGGCCGGTGCTCTATCCACTGCACCACCTAGCTGCCCCAGAACTGGACCTTTGTAAGCATAATCACACCAACTGTTATTGCTCCTGGAAAAAAAGTGTGCTAATCTACTTCCCCATGTTCACTATTCTTGTAGCTTTCCAGACTAGATATACCTTCCTGGACACCACTGGCTTTTGTGTGCTGTCTTCCCCTATTGGAATGTAAGCTCTTTGAAGGCATGACCTCTCTCTGCCTTTGTATTTTGTATTTGTATCTCTAGTACTTAGCACAATGCTTGGCACACAGTAAGCACTTAATAAATGCTTTCCATCCATCCATCCATCCATCCATCCATAGGGCTACATGGACAATGGTGCTGGGTCAGGCTGACAAATGACTTTCTTACTCCTGGCTAAAATGAAGAGGCAGGGTCAATTCCTGACTTTCTCTTGGGTACTTAGCCTAGAGAGTTCTTTACTCCCCTATCCTTCCTGAGGCAGTGACAGCAAACAATCTCCATTCTTTTCTATTCTTCCACACCTCAATGCTCCTACAGTAGGAAGAAAGGGAATATGAAATGCTAGACAAATGAGCCAAAGGGGCCAGGCAATTTCACTGGGTCAGCCTGGAGTGAAATGCAGAAGCCTGAATGTTCTCACTGAAGAAGGGAGGGATGGAGGAAGCAAAAGAGGGAGGAAAGGAGGGAAGGAAAAGGAGGAGGAGGAAGAGTGGTCTCTTTCTGCCCATCCCACCCATGCTCTGTTTTGAGGAGGTGGGAGGAGGAGAGAAGCAGTTGGAGTGAGAGTGGCATGAAGGGTAAGAGAAGACAAGGAACCCCGCCCCCCATTGGCCTTACATTGCAGAGGGAGTGCGTCCGGTGACGAGGGGAGTTGATGTCACTTGGCGTCGATGACCGGTCTCCTTCGGCTGCAGACGCATCAGAGATGATGGAAGGCTGCCGAGAATGACAGGGGCTCACCCTGACAGCTGGAAATTGGGAAACAATGAGTAAGGAAGGGAACAGAAGGAAATGACTGTGGTGCTACTGTCCTTATTCCCTGAGATTTTCCCCAGGCTCACCTTTCACACATACACCCCCTACTCCATGGAGTGATTTTATTTCTTCTTTCCATACCAACCTTATTTATACTCCCTTTGCTTTCTAAAACACTCCCAAACACATTAAATAATTATGATAATTAATAATGATGATAATAATGCCCATAATGATAACAATGATAATAACAACAATGATAATGATGATGATGGGCATTTCCATGGTACTTTATAATTTCAAAGTGCTTTATGCATATTTGAACCTTTGAGATAGGTATTATTATTCCCATTTTACTGATGAGGAAACTGAGCCTTAGAGATGCTAGCCTCATTCAGCTAGCAGGGTCATAAGACCATGGAATTACAGACTTAGTGCTAGAAGGGAATTTTGAGGCCACAAAGGCCCTCCTCTCCTATTTTGCAGATGAGGAAAGTGGGACATCATAAGGTTTGTGACTTTCCCAAAATCACACAGCTAATAAATGGCAGATGCAAGATTTAAATTTAGGTCTTTTAACTCCAAAATTCAAGACTTTCTCTATTACACTTGAATTTCTCTTATCTATTATTGGGAATTATAGTTATTGCTATTTGTGTCTTGTCCTACAGTGAGACCATGTACATCTTTGTGAGGTCAAGGACGATTTCTTGGCTAAAGTACAGGACTTTAAGACTTAGAAAGTACTTTACATCCATGATCTCACTTGAACCTGTGAGATAGATACTACAGGTATTAAATTATCCTCATTTCATAGATGTGGAAATTGAGATCCAGAGAGCTGAAGGGACTTGACCGAGGATGCATAACTAGCAAGAGATGGGGTTTGAACTCAGGACCCTGCTGACTATGAGCTGGGCCCTCTTACTACCATTTCAGGCTTGAGAAACATTTACCAAATTGACTTAATTCTGTCCACTACCTTCTTCCTCTGATCACATTAAGGAACTCTAAGCACGGTGGGCTATGTAGTGTAGCACTTGGTATTCTACTGCCATGATTTCATCCCCAAGGTGGGACTCCCAGTATGGAAACTCCTTCTACCAATGTAGAGAGGCAGTAACTCATCTGTAATCTAGAGCCTTAGAGAGTTACCTGGGGCCCTGAGAAGTTAGGTGACTCTCCCATGGTAACCCAGGTAGGATATGTCAGAGATAGGACTTAAACCCAAGTCTTCTTGATTCTGAGGTTGGCTTTTACTCTATCACACCATATTGCCCCTTCAGCTGCTAATGCTAGAATGGGAGCTCCCTGAAGACAGGGGCTGGCTTTGCCTTTCTTTGTATCCTGATCCCAATCACTTAATAAATGCTTTCTAAATTAACTGATGGATCGCCACCACCACCATGACCAACCACCAGAACCTTTGTCACTTTACACCCTACCAGCTAGAGCCCATGGCACATGTCCAATAAAGAGGAGTTGCCTTCAGGATGCTCTAAGGGGTCCAGGTCCAGTGGTTGGGAAACCGTTCACAAAGTTAGAGATCACTAAGGTCTTGCTCGCTCCTTCCTCTGCTTCAACCAAGGGCTGAAAATCACCCACTGTGGGAAAGCACAAGGACTCCCCTACCTCTGCTAACTCTTTTGTTGTTCAGTCATTTTTCGGTAGCGTCCAACTCTTCATGACCCTATTTGGCGTTTTCTTGGCAGACATACTGGAGTGGTTTGCCATTTCCTTCTCCAGCTCATTTTACAGATGAGGCAAACATGATAAAGTGACTTGTCCAGGGTCACACAGTTAGTAAATAACTGGAGCCAGATTTGAACTCAGGAAGATGAGCCTCCCTGATTCCAGGCCCAGTGTTCTGTGCACTATGGCGCCACCTAGCTGCCCCTGATAACTCGAGCAATATAACTGTAGAAATCCATCAAAATCAGCCACCTCATACAGCCACAGGTAACACTGGACCCTCTATGTCCTCCAGAAGATACACAGTCCCCCTTAATGTCCAAAGCAAACAAAAACACAAACAAAAACCCAACCTCCTAACATCCAGACAATGACAGCTAACCCGAAGCAGAATGGGACAGTCTCAGGAGGAGGTGGTGAGTTCCTGAACATCAAATGAGATTTTTGTAAAGTGCTTAGCATGGTGCTTGGTGCACAGAAGGCGCTATCTAAATGCTAGCTATCATATCACCATCACTGAAGGTCTTCAAGTGGAAGACTACTTGTTTTCAATATTGTAAAAGAAATTCTAGTTCAGGTCACAGGTCAGACTAGATGGCATCTCTCTGAGATTGCCCAGCTGTTATCTCCTCTCACCTGGATAACTTTATTATCAGTCTCCCTGCTTCCAGGTCTTTCCCTTCTTCAACATATTCTCCAATCACTGACCAAATTCATATTCCTAAAGATCTGACTTCGTCACTCTTCAGCTCAAGAAGCTTCAGGGACTCCCTATGTTTTCTAGCATAACATGTTAGAATGTGAAGGGACCATGTTTTCATTTCTTTTTGTATCTACAGCACTTAGTATAGTGCCTGGCACACATTGATGGCTTAATAAATACTTGTTTTGATCGATTCTTTTTGGTCTTTACAGCCCTTCACAATCTGACTCCAACCCATCTTTTCATACTGACTCCCCACTATAAGGTGCTCTGTGTTTCAGCCACAGTGACTAACTTGGTGTTTACTGTACAGGATATCCACCTCCTATCCCTGGATCTTTGAACAAGCTATTCCTCCACCTGGAATACAACACATACAATTTTTGGGTGCAGTAAAGCATTATCAGCTGGGGGCATCAGGAAAGTCCTCATGTTGAAGGGGGACCTCACTCAGGGCTCTTGGAATCTTTAGCTCCCTTCAAGGTTCACCTCCAACATGAGGTCTCTCCTAATGCCTCCAGTTGTCAATGTCCTATTGGACCAAAAAAATTACCTTGTATTTAATTGTATATTTATTTATCTGTGTAGGTGTTGTCTTTCCAGAGTAGAATGTAAGCCTTTCAAGGGCAGGGAGACTTTTTAATCTTTATGTTTACATCCACATCTACTACATGCCATGTGCCATGTGCCATGTGCCCTTTACGGCAGGGAGCAAAGTGATGGTGATTATGGTGGTGGTAATTCAGTAGACAATAAATGCTTGTTGGCAGGGGCAGCTAGTGGTGCAGTGGATACAGCACCAGACGTGGAATTAGGAGGACCTGAGTTCCAATAAGATTTCAGATACCTGGTAACTGTGTGTGTGATCCTGAGCAAGTCACTTAACCTCAATTGCCTCCAAAAAAACATAACTAATTAAATAACTAAAGAAATGCTTGTTGGACTGGGTGGAATTGATTCTATGAACGTGGGCATTTTCTCCACCAGTGTCCATGAAAAATCTCCCCCTCAAAATTGTCTTGAATTTATTTTGAATGTATTCTGTACACACTTTGATGTGGCCACGTTATTTCCCCAACAAAATGTGAGGTCCTCGGGGAGAGAGACTGTTTAATTTTTGTCTTTGTGTCTTGAGCACTGAGGACAGTGTGTGACCCACAGCAAATCCTCAAGAAACACTTCATTGGAATCCACCAAATATCACAAAAATCAACAGGACCTTGCCAGAACACTGAATGGATGGCTGAGAGATCTTCAGAGACACAGGGGTGAGAAGAACCCAGAATCTGAAGGTATGCCTGGGTTGGGATCTGTTTCAGTAAGAAAGAGAAAACAGCCCTATGGGAGCATAGGTACAATGAAGTATTAAGGTCTTCCGGGCCACCACAACCCATTCCTTCAATTAAATTCAACAAGCAGGTTCTAAGTGCCTGACATGGGCCGGGCAGAACGCGGTGCATCCCACTTCCTGTGGCAAAGGTTCAAACGCTTGAAAGGAACTCTCATATGCCCTTCAGTCCAACAATAGGCCATAGATTTTGAGCTGGGAAGGAATGTCAGGCACTAACAGGGCCAACTCCCCTGGTTTTTACAGAGGAAGAAAGTGAGTCCAGAGAGGCCTAGAAGTTTGCCCAGGGTTACACAGTGCTGACGGTGGGATTCAAACCCAGGTACTCCTGCTTCCGAGTACAAGCCTGTGTTTGCTCTGCCTTGCAGTTTTCTCTTCTGAGCAGTTCCTTTTTCCAATGTTCACATAGCGATGCTTTCTAGTCCTCTCGTATCCTGGTTGCCCACCTCAGAATGTTCTCTGGCTCATCAGTGCTTCTCCTAGAATGTGGCGGCCAGAACTGGGCCAGAACTACGAAGTCTACCTGTCCCGTCCTGTCCTTCTCAAATGTCTTCGTTGTTGTTCAGCCATTTTTCAGTTGTGTCTGACTCTTTGTGACCCCCTTTGGGGTTTTCTTGGCAAAGATACTGGAGAAGTTGGCCATTTCCTTCTCCAGTTCTTTTTTTGATTGTTTGTTTGTTTGTTTTTATAGATTGATGAGGAAACTGAAGCAAACAGGGGGAAGTGACTTGGTCAGGGTCACATAGTGAGTAAGGGTCTGAGGCCAGATTTGAACTCACAAAGATAAGTCTTCCTGACTTCAGGCCCAGAACTCTATCTACTCTACCACCTAGCTGTCCTTCTCAAATGTCTCATTGAGGTTTCAAACTTTAATCACTTCAGAAGTACAAATGCTGCAAATTGTAAAAAGACGTATTTTTCTTATTAAAATTCAATGTATTTTGTGCTATGCATCACTAGTCAGTTTTCAAACTTTGTAAAAAAAACTGCCATCAGCTGCTGCTCAGTGACTGAAAGGATGGCATTTGTAACCCTTGCCTTAAGATCATCCAAAGAATGAGGGTTTGATGAACACAGGACAGTTTTGATGTGACCCCAAAGAAAAAGTCTAATGAAGATGGATCAGGTGGGTGCCTGAGGTGTCTTCTCCCAATCCGCTGCTCTGAGAGACTGTCATCCAGAAAGGGTGCTCTGTCTTGTTAAAATTTAAAATGTATTCATTCACAATTTACAAAAGTAAATAAGTGGAAAATAAACTTAAATAATCAAACCTTCAAACGATGGGGCTTTTTTGGGTAAGGTTGCAGCATTTAGACTTTTGAAGTTATTAAAGCTTAAAACTGCACCAAGACTTTTGGGACACCCTGTCCCATCCTGTACTATACTATGCTACATTCTATTTTCTCCATTCTGTACTCTATTAATACAGTCTGAGATGATGTCATCCAATTGCCTTCTAGTGTGCTTAAAGTTTGTGAGGACCCTCAGGTTTTTCCATCTAGACACGCCTCCCCCATTCCATGCTTGTGGGGTTGATCTGTTGAATTAAATGAAAGAGCAGTAGCTTTGGGCCTTTGGTGAAGGCCCGCTGACCTCCCCCAGACCCCCTCCATCTGATGCGGTCTAATTGTATCGGTCACTCAGATGTGGCAATCTTTCTTTTGTATCTTGTTGATACAGCACCAGATCTGGAACCAGGAAGATGGGGGGGTCATACCCTGCCTATGACATTCACTACTAGTGACTGGGTACATGACTTCCTCCTTCTTCCTCAGCCTAATGAGGACAATAATACTCACTTCACAGGGCTGTCAGGATACTTCAATGAGATCATCTAAGGTAGTGGCTTTGCAAATTTTAAAAAGCTATACAGATAACAGTGATTACATTATTGTTGTTTTTATTATTATTATTGCCATAAAATGGGGCAGAACAGAATCTGCCAGGCACAAGGTTTGAGGTTTCAAAAGAGAGAATTGGAGGGCTCTTAGGGATCATCTAGGACACAGGTACTTAACCTTTTGTATATCCTGGGTCCCTTTGGAAGTCTGGAGAAGCCTATGGACCGCTTTTCAGAATAAATAACAAATAAACATTTATTAAGCACCTACTGTGTGCCAGACATTATGCTAAGTGCTTCACAGATATTGTCTCATTTTAGTTTCACAATGACCCAGGGAGGTATGTGCTTTTAAAATCCTCATTTTACATATGAGGTAACTGAGGTAGAAGAGGGTTAAGTGACTTGCCCAAGGTCATATAGCTGCAACTGTTTGAGGCAACATTTGAACTCAGGTCTTCCTGGCTCTAAGTCCAGGGCTCTATACATTGAGTCACCTGGCTGCCTCTAAAGAAGAATGTTTTTTAAATGCATAAAGTAAATAGCAAAGGATTACAAAGAAAATTAATTATATTGAACTGCAATTATCAAAAGTGTTTTTAAACACCAAGTTCATGGACCCCCAAGGTCAAGAAGCCCTGACAGAAGATGCCAAGAACTTGAGGCCGGTAAAGCCATCTGCCTGGGGTTGGTGAGGCAGTGAGGAGCAAAGCCAGGATTCAATCCCATGTTTACCCTCTAACAAACTCAAGAATCTTCCCACCACACCACACTGTCCCTCTGATGGGGCTCAGGAGTTTGGACCATTGGCCACTAGTGGGTTCAAATGCCAGAGCTCCAGAGGGCTAGAATATTGGTACTTTTGTCTAGAACTTTCTGGAGGAGCTGGCTTTCTCCTTTGATGGAAGCCTCCACTAAAAGCCAGCTATTGCTGTTGGCCCAGCTGAGACTCACCTTGCCGGTCTGTGGGATGGGGGGGATGTGAGTGGTAGAGCGTCTGTTGGCTCTGCCGGATGGCCGCAGTGAGCGGGAGGTCCGCCTGCATCACCCATTCCTGATTGCCGTTGAGAACTGTCTCACCTGGCATGGCGAGAGAATGCCGCTTGGGGACATCCTTGGTCAGGGTGGCTAAGGACTGCTTTGCCTGAGCAGAGAGGAGGAAAGAAAGAAATAGGATAGATTACACGAGGCTCTGATACCAGCTCTGCCCTATCATTCCCACCCCTGTGCAGCCCCTCTTCAGAAAGCCCTTACGCCTTTTACCACGATCAATGACCCTTCACCAACCACCTCCTTGGGCACTGTCCCAGACGGTATTAGAAGAGTGTGAAGCAGGGGCAGTGGGGATGTTCTATGCCCTCGGAAGCCTGCTCATCTGACTGAGAGACAAGGCAGCTGGACATGTGGTCAGCAATGATGTCCTTGAAGGTGGCATCAGATTAGAGTGTTCTAAGAATGTTACACTTTGACACCGAGGATCAGAAGGAGGACTGGAGCCCCATCTCCTCGTAGGCCCCTTCTCCTCCTTCCCCCCAGACTTTCCTCCACCCCTGGGCTTCTCAAAGTCCTTGGGTCTTTTGGGCAGGAAAGCAATCTTCTGGAAGGTAGCTCCCACTAGTAGTAGGTGTGGTAGGATAGAAGCCACTAGGGAGGTGCTATTATTATCCCCATTTTATAGGTGAGGAAACTGAGGCTGAAAGTGACCTGCCCAGGTTCACTCAGCCATTAAATGCCTGAGGTGGGATTTGAACTCAGGGCTTCCTGGCTCTGAGTCCAGCATTTTAGCTATTCCCTTTGCCTCTAGGAGGTGCTTCATAAATATTGGCAGAAGCTGAAAGACACTTTGGAGCAAACAGCTGTGTCTGCTTCAGCCTGGAATAAGATGAGGACAGACAGAGAAAGCCAGGCTCAGAACACGCCTGTGTGCAGGCGCACTCCGCCTCTCTGTGGTGATTTACATACATAGCACTCTGTCTAATTTCTGAAACTGACCAGGGTCTGTGGCTGGCCAGCAGCTCCCAGGAACAGCTGCTCTGTAATTATCCCCCCAGTCTCCTCTGCCCTTCCTCAGTGATCCCAATCAGGAGAGTGCTGCTAACTGGGGAGGGGCCTCTGCCTCACCTGGCCTGCCGGGTGTCCCTCCATAAAAGGGGTGCTAGGACATGGGAGAATGCCTGTGCCAGACACCCCACCTTCCTCTTCCCTCAACTGCATGGATCCTTTGCCATTTTGGGGTCATAGAACCCTTTGGCAGTCTGGAGAAGCTGAGGGACCCTTTTTCAGAAGTAGCCAGTGAGGAGTGGGTACAGCAGATAAGAGTGTTGGACCTCAGTTCCAGTCCTGCCTCAGAAACTTACTTAGTTGTGTGACCCTGGGTAAGTCATCCCAATTTCTCAACCTCAGTTCTCTCATCCATAAAATAAGGGTAATTGTTGCACCTACCTTACAGGGTCGTTGTAAGGGTCAAAAGAGGTAGCCTTTAAAGCCTTCTGCAAACCCTAAAGTGATATATAATTGCCAGCTATTGATATTAATGATAAAAATCAATACATTAAAATCCATGGTTATATGGGGACCTAATTCTATTGAAATACAGTTATCAAATTATTTTTAAAAAATCATGGACCCCAAGCTACTAGATTAGGACAAATGGTAGAAGGATTCTCGGAGCTCTGGAGATGCCCAAAGTGTTTTCAGAGGCTGCGCAACAGCAGAGAGGGGCGGCCTACTTAATGCTGCAGTGACTTCAGGCCCTCTTGACTTTCTGGGGATCTGTCACCTGGCTTTGAAAATTCCTCCTAGGGGCAGCTAGGTGGAGCAGTGGATAGAGCATGGCCCTGGATTCAAGAGGATCAGAGCTCAGATCCGGCCCCAGACACATAACACTCGCTAGCTGTGTGACCCTAGACAAGTCACCTAACTCCACTGCCTAGCGAAAAAAAGAAAAAGAAAATGCCTCCTAGCTGAAGGCCAAGAAATCTTTCTAGAGGAATTATCAGGGACAGAATTATAACAAGGGTGTGTGAGAAATGATTATGTCTCTCTTGTATTAATAGGCTGGCTTAGTAAAATTCTGTTACCATAACTAACTACTGAATCAGGACCAAGGTCTTTCAAAACCCTTTTCTATTTCCTCATCTAGAAATCAACTAGTTGGGAAATCCCTCTCAAAGATGTATCCAGGCGAAGATCTAATCAAAGACAGTAAAAGAAATTCTAAGTCTGGCTAATGGGTGCATTCCTTCTCCTTGTGTTTGCTCAGACAGGTCTGGGAAAATGTGGATCCTCTCTTCTGTCAGACAGGTGACTGAGAAATAGATGAGTCTCTCTGACCAAGAGTTGGGTGATCCAAACCACGTACCTCTAGACCCTCACTGTAACATACCCAGCATCTCATTGTAATATGAATTCCCTCATTAATTGTTAACCAGAGTTAATTACCACCCTCAGGAACAACCGCTTTTCCAAGGGCATATGAACTGTGAGCCCACTGCCATGAGGGTCTTTGGTCTAAGAGAGACGGCCAAATGACCATCCTTTTATTAATAAACATGCTGGCCTTGCTAATGAAATGATTAAATTATAAAGAAATTATGTCTCTTGGGACTTTTAAAAATTGTCATAGTGTGTTTGGGGTGGAGGAATGTAGAAAGGGCACTGGATGGGGAGTCAGGCAGATGCCAGTCCAAATTCTGACCCAGGCACTCAACAGCTATGTGAGTTTTCCCACCCCTCCTCAGGCCAGTCACTTAAAAATCTCTGTGCCTCAGTTTCCTTATCTGTCAAATTTAGGGGAAAGAAGGGAAGCTGGATTTGATGGTCTCTAAGGTTCCTTCTAAATCTCTGCTCCTCTGATTTATGATCAGATACTCCCTTCTTTCCAGCCTGATCTCACATCCCCCTCATAGTCCCTTCTTTGTAGTCAATTCTATAACTGGACAATATTAGATCTGACAGTCTCTATTCTCTACCCTCTTTCTACCATCTCCTGTAATAACCACAGGAATCATAACAACCAACTTGAGAGTCTGCAAAGTACCCTACATAGATACATTATCCCATTTGATCCCCACGATCATCCTCTATTGGACGTGCTATTATTATCCCCATCCTACAGACGAGGGAACTGAGAATGAGAAGTGACTTACTCAGGGCCACACAGCTAGTGTCTTATCTGAGGCAGAATTTGAACTCATCTTCTCGGTTCCAAAGGCCAGTCCTCTATCCACTGTTAGAGTAGGTACTTAGGATTACTGTGAAGTTCTGAGATGATATCCATGAAGCACACTGCCAACTTTAAGGTGCCACATAAATGTCAGAGGGGCTAGACAACTGGCTTCTGAGACAAGAAAACCAAGGTTGGAGTCTTGCCTCTGACGCTTCCTGGCTGTGAGACCCTGGGCAAGTCTCAGAGCTCACACGCTTAACAGCTCAGCGCTCAAGGTAAATTCCCACTATCTCAAGTTGAAGAGGTGCCAACTTGTATCAGGAGAGGGATTTTCCTCACCTGGAAGTTCCCCAGAGCAATCGCATCCTTATTATGGCACCTTGTAGCTCTGCCATTCCAAGGTACTTCCCCTCTTCTTCCTCTGGAAAATAGCTGTGGTTGGACTCGACCTCTCTCTCTAAAGTCCCTCAGAACAGTGAATCTGATCATCTTTTCGATTTCCCCGGGGGTCCAGATTCCCTCACGTTACATTCTCTTTTGGACCCATCTAAGGCACTCACTCTAAAATTTGTACCTTTCATTCCCCTGGCCTTCTGCCTCAGTCTCCGGCCTGACTATTGTAACTTGTCCTCCCTGGTGCCGAGTACAAGGGATGGATACAAAAGGTGTTGCTGAAGTGATTAGAATCTGAGGCCGATGATGGAGGACAAAACTCCACCATCCTGCACATGCCCCCTTGGTGTCCCTATGGGATGTAGTTTCTGGGGCTGGAGGGGCCCCATTCAATTCAGTCCTGCTCAATTAGGCATCCTGGTGTAGAGAAGATAGTGTTGGACCTGGAGTCAGCATGATGGGTTCAAATCCCATCACTGACAATTACCAGCTGGGTGACTCTGGGCCAGTCACGTTACCACCTGGAGCCTCAGTTTCCCCATATGTAAAATGAAGATAATACTATCTGGAGCAGGGTCTAGCTAGCATATAGTAGGCACTTAATAAATGTTTAGTGACTGACCATGCTATTTTCTTCAGAAGGTTGATATGAAGCTCAAATGAGCTGATATATGTAAATGTTCTGCAAACCTGAGCTCCATGAGAACAGGAATTGGTTTTTTGCTTTTCTTTGTATTCCCAATGCTGAGCACAGAGAATGTGCTACATAAATGCTAGCCGACTGACTACTAACAAATACATATTATAGGCAAAGCCCTGTGCTGATATCTTTACGTTGGATCTCCCTGTCCTCTGATCCCTATGACTGCCAGGATTAAATCTAAAATCACTGTGTGGCCCTTTCTACCTTTCCAGTCTTTTCACACCTGACTACCTTCCATGAACTCTTATGATCCAAACAGGGCACTCCATCTCCCGACTCGCGGCGTTTGCACTGGCTGTCCTGCATGCCTGGAATGCCTTCCTCCCTCCTCATCCCTGCCTCCAGGCTTCCCAGGCTTCCTTCAAGTCCCGGGTCAAAATCTCACCTTCTGCAGGAAGCCTTTCCCTCCCCTCTTAATTCTAGTGCCTTCCCTCCAACACTGGCATCCATCTAGTCTGCTGATTATTTACCTGTTGTCTCCTCCTTTAGAATGTAAGCTCCTTGAGGGCAGGAATGGCGTTTTTGCCTTTCCTCATGTTCCCAGAGCTTAACACAGTGCCCGCCACATGAGAAGCTCATAATAAATACTTGTTGACTCACTGGCAGAAAAGAAGGTGCCAATATATCCCTCAGAGGAATTTCCGGGTGGAATTGTCTATGCAAGGTGCCCAAGGGGCAGAGCTGCTTTGTGCATAGTTTATAATAAAAGCAGGTTGTTGAACTGAATTCACATTCATCCCAGTCACTCACTCCCTATTCCAACCAAATGAACTGTTCACGTCACTCAGTTCTTCTGGCCTCCATGCATCTGCACAGGCTGCATCCCACGCCTGGGGTGCCTACTTTCCTGCCTCACTCCTGATTCTTGGAATCCTGAGCT